GCTCCCGCGGGCCGTCCTCGGGCCTCGGGGCTTCCGGAGAGCGGTTCTGGGCGAGTCGCTGGTCCTGCGGAAGTGGTCGAGAGGGTTGTCCATTCTCCTCCTCCTCCTCCTCCTCCTCCTCCTCCTCCTCCTCCCCACCTGTCTCTCTCTCTCTCTATTTGTACCTCTGACTTTTCTGTTCTATCTCTCCTTGTATGTGTATACCAACATATGTAATTGTATTCACATGATTCACCTGTTAGCTCTTATCACAATATGTTACATCTACCTCTTTTCCTCTAACGTTTTTTTGGTCTCTCTCTCTATCTTTCTCTCTGACCCTCTGACTCTCTCTCGTCCCCTCTGGCTCTCCCTCTGTGTGTGTGTGCGTCTCTCTCTCCCTCTCTCCCTCTTTTTTTGTGTTCTCTCTCTCTATCTCTCCCTTTCCGACTCTCTCTCTGACTCTATCTCGCCCTATCTTTCTCTCTCGCTCCCTCGCTGTCATGGCTTTCGCCTTCTTCTTTTTCCCCCTCCTTGAAGTCAGTGCCTCCTCGTCTTGTGCCGAGGCCCCCTGGACGTCCTGCATCTGGGTCGTCATCTACGCCCTGGAGGCCAGGGGAGGAGGGCGATTTTCCCTCCTCTTCCTCAGTCTCTCCCTCCCTCCTTGTTTACCTCCTCCCCCTCCTTCTCCCCCCTTCTCGCTCAGTCTGCTTGTGCTGCTGGACTGCATTCTCCTGATGTGGGGCAGGTAGCGGCACGGATCGTGAACGCTTCTGTACGCACGTGTGCAGCAGATCTGTGACCACTTCGGGGCGGACATGATATGCCAACGTCGTCATCTCGCGCATGTGACTCTCGAATGTGCGGACAGGAACCTCGTGGTGGGCGTAGGGCAGAGGGCTCTTCTGGGGGGCACGGACACGGTCGTTTGTGCTTTATTTTCTGACGCTTGATGGCCGGGAGCCCCTTGGCGGCGCCTCCAGCGTTGCCCTTGGCGCTCTGAGAGGGGAGGGGGGTGCAGCGCCGATCCACTAAGTCCGCGCGGCCGCTCAACCTTGATGGTTATGCCTGCTCTCTTCTGGTATGTAATGAACATGTGGATCACTCTCTGGTATATAATGAACATGTGGATCACCCTAGGGGCCCGACCACAAGACTCTTCCACAAGAACCACAACCCTGAGACCCCAGGACGTCCATTGATTCTTGGTGTGGGAACGTCACGCTTCCCATACTACAGCCATCGAAACCCAAGGAACCCACGGCACCCTGGAGGCGAGCAGGGTGTCTCTTGGCATGGGTCTCCACTGTACGTTCGCGTTCGGTAGCTTCGCCACCGCATCACCCGGACGGGGGTAGGGGCACGCCAGCACCTGCTTTGCTCCACATCTCCGTGCCGAGCTGCTCGAGCGGTGCTGCACGAACGTCCGCCTGCCACGACGCTGCCCACTGTCGCTCGCGCACTCGTCACCATGCGAACAGGTCGCCTCGCGGCGGAGGGAGGGCGGGCGGGAGGGGAGGGAGGGAGGGCGGGAGGGGGGGGAGGGGGGGGAGGGGGAGGGGGAGGGAGAGGGAGGGGAGGGCGAGAGGGAGGGGGAGGGGGAGGGGGAGGGGGGGGGAGGGGAGAGACGGGGAGGGGGAGGGGGGGGGAGGGGAAGAGAGGGAGTGGGTGGGGAGGGGAGGGAGGGGAGGGAAGGGGAGGGGAGGGGGAGGGGAGGGAGCGTGCACCTCGTTAGCCAGGCGGCCAGGGCCGGGGCCTGCAGGAGCGCCTGCAGGGCGTCGCGCCAGGCCTCCACGCCACCGCCGGCGCGCACAGCTGGTGCCAGCAGCAACATGGCCTCCCGTGAGGGCAGCGCCGGCGCCCACCCCGGGCACGGCCTCGCAGCCAGCTGCAACCACCCTGCCGCCGAAGCGCCGCAGCGCAGGCACGCCGCCCAGCCGGGGCCCTGCGCTGCTGCGTGCGCCTGCCGCTCGGCGCCTGCGAAGAGGGCGCGCGCCACCTCGGCCGGCGCAGGCGGCGCGACGGCTCCGGTGGTCTCCGCTGCAGCCCGCGTCCCGTGGTGCGTCGGCGGAGGGGGGGCAGGCGCCGCTGCCCGTGGCCGAGCTCTGTCGGCACGGGGTCCCTCGCGCGGCGGACCAGCGGCACGCGCAGGTCGCCTGGCCCGCGGCTGCCGCGGTGGGCCCGCAAGGCCGCCACCTCAACCGCAGCGAGCACGCGCTGCGCTGCGGCCAGCGCCGTCAGTTGGAAGCCGCGCTCCAAGCGGAGCTCTGGCGAGGGGGAGCGGCCTGTCGCCGCTGCACCTGTCAGCCGGTCGGCAGCTGCGTTGCCCACCGTGTCCTCGGACATGCCCCGCGCGGGCGCGTCTTTGGCACAGTGTGGCCCTTGATTCATCGCGCCGTGAGGAACCCGCTCCGGCTGTGCTGTGCTCCGCGACGCGCTCTCGGGGATCGAAATGCGCCCAGCCGAGGTAGTATGCGCCAGCGCGCAGGGTGGCTACCCCACTGCGGACGAAACGGGGGTCCGTGACTACCTCCGCTGAACCCCCCTGCCATGTTGACCGCTTGGACGGCAGCGTTCAGCTCAGATTTGCGCGCTTTGCACTCTACGCCCCGTCCGCTGGCCCGCTGTGCCCGCTCGTGCCATGGGCCCGTCCAAACGCAGCTCCCAGTCTGCAGTGGATCGGCGGGTTTTGTGCACGCGCGCGCGCTTCGTCGGCCTAAGCCGTTCGGAGTGGTTGTGGTGGTGGTGGTGGCGTCTGCGCCCCAGGGGGCGGCGCTGGCGGCAGGACCCAGGTGACCTCTTCGGCGAGGGCGGCGAGCCGGACGTCCGTCTGCAGCACGCCCGTGTTCGCCACGCCCGGCGGCAACCGTGCGTGCATCGCGGTTTGCGAAAGTTCCGCTGCCGCCAGGGCGGCCGCACTGTCGGCGCCCCACGCTGGGCAGGCCCAGAGCCGGTGCTCGCGGTCCTCGCAGGCTCGCCGCAGCGCGGACACCTGGCCAGCCTGTCCCATTTCGCCGCCGCCGACTCCGTGGCGACGTTCCGGGACAACACGGCGCGCAAGGCACCGGCCGCGTCCAGCGCGAGGACCCCCGATTCCAGCAGCCGCCTGGTGGCCCAGCGTTCCCCCCCGCTCGCGACGTGCGCGAGGTCTGCCCGTCTGCCCTCCACGGCAGCCGCCTCCGGGCGCGCCCAAGCGCCGTGCGCGTGGCCTGGAGCGGTTGGTGGGCTGGGCGCTTGCACGTAGAGTCTGAAAAACAGCAGCCCTCCTTTGGTTCTCCCCCCCCCTCTCCCCCATTTCCCCTCCTTGCCCCCGCCCGCGCACTCTTCGAACGGCGCCTGGGGCGGCACACCTACCAAGGGTTGGCTAGCCTCATCTTCCACCCTCGGCCCTTCCACCCTTGGGTCTCCATCCTTTCGGACTTTCTTCCGCGCCCTCCGCTTCTTCGTCCTTTCCCTCTCCCACCGCCCCCCACATGCGCGAGACCGCGCGCGATGATGATGATGATGATGATGATGATGATGATGATGATGATGATGATGATGATGATGATGATGATGATGATGATGATGATGATGATGATGATGATGATGATGATGATGATGATGATGATGATGATGATGATGATGATGATGCTGATGCTGATGCTGATGATGATGATGTGATGATGATGATGATGATGATGATGATGACGACGATGATGATGATGATGATGAGGATGAGGATGAGGATGAGGATGAGGATGAGGATGAGGATGAGGATGAGGATGAGGATGATGATGGTGATGATGATGATGATGATGATGATGATGATGAACATGATGCTGATGATGATGATGCTGATGATGCTGATGCTGATGATGATGATGATGATGATGATGATGATGATGAAACTGATGATGATGAAGATTATAATGGTGATGATGATGATGCTGATGCTGATGCTGATGCTGCTGATGATGATGATGATGATGATGATGTCGATGCTGATGATGATGATGATGATGATGATGCTGATGCTGATGCTGCTGCTGATGATGATGCTGATGATGATTATGATGCTGATGATGACGATGATGATGCTGATGATGCTGCTGCTGCTGATGCTGCTTCTGCTGATGATGATGATGCTGATGACGATGATGATGGTGATGATGATGATGATGATGATGATGATTTTTAAGATGATGATGATGATGATGATGATGATGATGATGATGATGATGTTGCTGATAATGATGATGATGATGATGATGCTGATGATGCTGATGATGACGATGATGCTGCTGATGCTGATGATGATGCTGCTGATGATGATTATGCTGATGTCGATGATGATGATGATGATGATGATGATGCTGATGATAATGATGATGATGATGACGCTGGTGATGATGCTGGTGATGATTATGCTGCTGATGATGATACTGATGATGGTGATGATGATGATGATGATGATGATGATGATGATGGTGATGACGATGATGATGATGATGATGATGATGATGATGATGCTGATGATGCTGATAATGATGCTGATGAAGCTGATGATGTGATGATGATGATGATGCTGATGATGATGCTGCTGATGATGATGATGATGCTGATGATGATGATGATGATGGATTTGTGTTGGATGATGATGATGTGATGATGATGATGCTGATATGATGATGATGATGATGATGATGATGGTGGTGATGGATGATGATGGTGATGATGCAGATGATGATGATTGATGATGATGATGATGACGATGCTGATGATGTGATGATGATATGATGATGATTATGATGATGATGATGATGATGATGATGCTGATGCTGCTGCTGATGATGATGATGATGCTGATGATGCTGATGATGAAGATTATGATGGTGATGATGATGATGATGATGATGCTGCTGATGCTGCTGATGATGATGATGATGATGCTGATGATGATGCTGATGATGATGATGGTGATGCCGCTGATGATGATGATGATGATGATGATGATGATGATGATGATGCTGATGATCATGATGATGATGATGATGATGATGATGATGATGCTGATGCTGATGCTGATGCTGATGATGATGATGATGATGATGATGATGATGATGATGATGATGATGATGATGATGATGATGATGATGCTGCTGATGCTGATACTCAGGATGATGCTGCTGCTGAGGAGGAGGAGGAGGAGGACGAACATGGAGGAGGTCGAAAGAGGAGGAGGATCACGAATGAGGAGGAGGAAGAGGAGGAGGAGGAGGAGGAGGAGGAGGAGGAGGAGGAGGAAGAGGAGGAGCCCCTTCTCACTTGCCCTCCGGGCTCGCCGCCGACGACGGGGCCGCCTGGGCCTCCCGCCCCCCCGGGTGCCGAGCGTCGGTGCGCCGAGAGGCCGTCTTCGCGGCCGCGCAGCTGAGCTTCGGCGGCTTCCGGGGCAGCGGCCTGGTCGAGGCGCCGGGGGCGCCCGTGGGCTGGGGGCACTGCTGGCAACGCTCGGCCCAGGCGGTAGCACGATCCGTCACGTGATGCGAATCGGATGAGGAGTAGGAGGAGGAGGATGTAGAGAGGAGGAAGCCACCACCCACCAAACCACCCCAACCCAACCCGAAGCCCTCAATTTGCCCTCCATTTCCAGTGGGGGGGGGTCGGGGAACGTTGAAAAAACACATGGAACCCGTACCCCCCCTAACCCGAAATTGGGGTCAAATTCGGGTCTTCGGGTTGGGTTTGGGTGGTCTGGTAGGTGGGGACTGGGGGACTCCGCATCGCGCGACGGCATCCCTTTGCCCACGTGGGGTCAGGGGAGGGAGGGTCGGCGGTCCTCAGGGCGAGTGTGGACCCGATGTTCGGTGGCCGCAGAAGCGACGCAGAAAAACGGGGTCGTCTGCGCCGACACTGGCGCCCACAGCGGGGGCCCATGCCAAGAGACACCCTGCTTGCCTCCAGGGTGCCTTGGGTTTCTTGGGTTTCGATGGCTTCGATATGGAAAGCGCGACGTTCCCACCCCAAACATCAGTGGGCGTCTTGGGGTCTCAGGGTTGGGTTTCTTGTGGAAGGTTTCTTATGGTCGGGCCACTGCTGTTAGCTGCCCGCGTAAAGTCGCGCGTGAGTGCCTTCGCTTTCGATGTGGTGCGCCGCGCTTTCGGCCCGCGTAGGCCACCGCGTGAGGTCGCTATGCCATCTCGCGTAAGACCCCTTTCGTTTCGCCGCTCACATGTCCACCTAAAGTGTTCAGGAGGAAAAGAAGCACACAGACACAATTCATCCTCGATTTCCCAGAAAATGTGGGAAACTATGGGAAGTGGGCGGGAAGACAGAAACCCAGAAAAACATGGGAAAATACAGGGGATTATTTTATTTGTGTGTCCTTGGGCCCCTTCAAATTTGTGTTAGCCCCGCTCAGCTCCGCCGACAGCACGCCGCCTGTCTCGGCCCTCATGACGCGGCCTGTGTCGTTATGAAGGGCCCTGGTTGACAAGACCACGATGACACGGCCTGTGTCGTTATAAAGGGCCCTGGTTGACAAGACTACGTTGGCGTCTGGTGCCGCCAGCCTTGCCTCGTTTTCTCCCTTTTTGTGGGCCAGGCCCTCGTCGCCACTGCCGGATTCGCCTCGCAATTCTGGTCAGACTGCGCCCCGGGAGAGCAGGGCTCGACCCAAACGGTGTTTTGGCCATTTCGTGGACCGTGCTCGTTTCGATGTTGTCTTGCAGCGAAGCTGGAAGGAAGGCAAGACGAGGGACAGCGACAACAAAGCGACCACGAAACGCACCGCTTTGGTCGAGCCCCGCTGGAGAGGTTGTGGGGAGGAGCGGTATCGGCACCCTGCGGTCTGGGCCCCGGGGCGAGGCTCCGTGTGCTGCTGCTCCGCCTCGCCCTCGCCCTCGTCGGCCTCATCTCTCGCAGGCGATGCCTCCCATCCCAGCCCCCGCCTCTTCGACGGCAAAATTCGGCCACGCGCGGAGTGGGTTGGGGGGAGGGGGGAGGGCTTCTCAGAAGCACCCCTGCTTCTTAGAAGGCGCGAGCCTTATCTATAGATGCACGGCAGGCACCTTCCACGAAGCAGCCTCCTTCTACGAGGCCCTCCCCCCTCCTTCCACCCCCTTGTGCGCGCCGCCAAAAAATGAGGCGGCTACGAAGAGGAGGGACACCCTAGGAAACACCCCCAGGGGCCTACTCTGAAGCACCCCCATCGAGGATGGACGCCTTCCCCCCTCGTATACCCCAGGGTTGGGCCCCGTATTTCTGGTCCATTCGAAGACCCCACGAAGCCTGGGGTAGTGATCGACATATCCCCTCTTACCTCTGGTCTGCTCCCCGGGGGGGGCAGGGGCGAGGTTCTACGCCCTCCTCGTCCTCTGTCCCGTCTTCCTCCCGCGGCGCCGCAGCTCAGCCGCTCCAGCACGCCACCGCGGAGGGGTGCGTCGTAGGCATCTTCGATGCTTCTTGGAGTCTCGTTGGGCGCCTCTCGGCGGGGACCCGTTGGAGGCCTCTTGGGGGCCTCGTGGGGGCGGCCTCTTGGCC